CACACACACACACACACACACACACACACACACACACACACACACACACGAATTCCTTAGCTGGCAGACCAGGCAAGAAGGTGCGATCTGGTGGAAAGGAGAGCTAGGTGGAGTCCCGGTACGCTCTGTGCTTCTGCATTTTAAGTTAAGGGCAAGGCTGATCCAGCTGCTCAACGTGTGCAGCGGATAGCGAAGGACAGAGGAGTTATCTGTGGCAAGTACTCAGCCAAGAAATGGAAGGACCGGCTGAGGCTGGAGGACGATGTGATAGCGAAATAAAGGACAGCAGAAAAGGGGGCCACGGGGAAGCCGATGACAAGCCCGAGACGCAGCCCAGAATCTATTTTGTGACCGTTGACTGACTGTTGGTCGCACTGCGGCACACCGCGCCGTGGCCGAGAGGTCAGAGGATGACCTTCTGGAACGGACCTCTCCTTCCGTCATCTGGTCCCCGGGGACTGAACTGTCAGGCTTGGTGGCAAGCCCCTTTTCTTGCGGAGCCATCTCGAAGGCCCACAACTCAGATTCTTAAACGGGAAGTGGAGGATGCCGAGAGACCAAGAACAGCCCAGCTACAGGAGACGTCCACGGTGAGGTCAGCTTGTGTTAAAGAGCCCGGACGGAGGTCTCTACAGCTGCGCTCTCCTTCAGCTGGGTGTGGCTAGTCGCACCGTCAGCCCGGAGCTTGGGAGGAGGGGACAAGGGCATCAGGAGTTCAAAGCTAGCCTGGGCTACCTGGTGACACTGGGCGCGGTGGCACATGCGTTAGCAGCAAAGATTGGCAGAGGCAGCCTGCTCTACAGAGCACATTCCAGGTCTCATGAAACAAACAGACAAACGAAACAGAAGAAAGTAATTTATTACCACTCATTTGGCAATGGCGTGTGTGTGTGTGTGTGTGTGTGTGTGTGTGTGTGTGTGAGCAGGTGTCCTCGCACATGTGTAACCACCCGTTCATGTACCGGACAGAGGCTAGATGAGGGTGTAAGATGGGCTGCATTATCGCTCTCCAGGTTGTCCTCTTGAACAGGGCCTCTCCCTGAACCTGGATCTCAGCCAGCAACCAGCAAGCCCCAGGAGCCTCTTGTTTCCGCTCGAGCTGGAGTTACAGGTGTGTGTCCACACATGGCTTTTTATGTGGGTTAGGGTTCTAGGGAACTGACCTCAAGTCCCCATGATTGTCAAGTAAGGACTCTTAATCACTGAGCCATCTATCAGTGGCTCCCAGGCTACTCTCAAGGGCCTTTGCAATATCCTTATAGACTCCCAACATTCCTACATAGTTGAATTAAGTTGTCATTTTTCTCTTAGCTGTTAGCTTTCTTTCTAAACAAGGTATATGGGAAACAGAGGACCCAGGACTGTGCAATGAAGAACATTTTTTTCTTTTCTGGCAGCCCTCCGTAATAGAACTCTACCTTGTGCATGATAGGCAAGCACTTTCCACCACCTCACTGGGGAGTTCTAGGCAGGGGCTCTCCCACTGAGCCACACCCCAGCCCCTCACTGGGGGATTCTAGGCAGGTGTGCTCCCATTGAGTCACACCCAGCCCCTCACTGGGGGATTCTAGCAGGGGCTCTACCACTAAGACACACCCCAGCCCCTCACTGGGGGACTCTAGGCAGCTGCTCTACCACTGAGCCACACCCAGCCCCTCACTGGGGGATTCTAGGCAGGTGACCACTGAGCCACAGCCCAGCCCCTCACTGGGGGATTCTAGGCAGGGGCTCTCCCACTGAGCCACACCCAGCCCCTCACTGGGGGATTCTAGGCAGGGGCTCTACCACTGAGCCACACCCCAGCCCCTCACTGGGGGATTCTAGCAGGGGCTCTACCACTGAGCCACACCCCAGCCCCTCACTGGGGAACTCTAGGCAGCTGCTCTACCACTGAGCCACACCCAGCCCCTCACTGGGGGATTCTAGGCAGGTGACCACTGAGCCATACCCCGCCCCTCACTGGGAGATTCTAGGCAGGGGCTTTACCAGTGAGCCATACCCCAGCCCCTCACTGGGGGATTCTAGGCAGGAGCTCTACCAGTGAGCCACACCCTAGCCCCTCACTGGGGAATTCTAGGCAGGGGTTCTACCACTGAGCCACACCCCAGCCCCTCACTAGGAGATTCTAGGAAAAAGCTCCACCACTGAGCCACACCCCAGCCCCTCACTGGGGGATTCTAGCAGGGGCTCTACCACTGAGCCACACCCCAGCCCCTCACTGGGGAACTCTAGGCAGCTGCTCTACCACTGAGCCACACCCAGCCCCTCACTGGGGGATTCTAGGCAGGTGACCACTGAGCCATACCCAGGGCTTTACCAGTGAGCCATACCCCAGCCCCTCACTGGGGTATTCTAGGCAGGAGCTCTACCAGTGAGCCACACCCTAGCCCCTCACTGGGGGATTCTAGGCAGGGGCTCTACCACCGAGCCACACCCCAGCCCCTCACTGGGGAACTCTAGGCAGGGGCTCTACCACTGAGCACAAACCTAGCTCTTCTAGCATCTGAACAAAATGTCAGTTGTTTATACTGATGTCACCTTTGGTTCTGTGCTGGTTGGTGGCAGGGTCCGCTGTATCATAACAAGATCCCACCCTGCTGCACAGAAAGTGAAATTTTTCTTAAACTACTGGGACAAACTTTGTGAGTTGAAGACAGTACCCCAGGGATGTCAGGGACCCGGGAGGAGCCTCGCTGCTGCTCCATGCATCCACACATCTGCCACGGACTGCTAATGTCTAGATGATTCTACAAGGAAGACATGCCCCCCCCCCCCCCGTTTAGTTTAAATCGCTGTCATGTGGGTGTGTTTTGAAGCGGTTAAGCTGATACCCTCGTTAATCAAATGTGTATGAGGTAAGAGGGAGCTCGGTTCCTGGGTGTCCAGCCGGGGGTCACAGACCCTGTTGCTATTGGCTGGGCAGGACACGGAGGTGCTGAACCTCCATAATGACGTCAAGAGCAGATGTGCTGTTTTGGGGTGGGCCTAGGGCAAGCGGCCTTGTTCTTCTGCAGCTTAGGTAAAAGGGCAAAGCTGGAAATACTGGTGTCAGAATCACACACACACATGTGTGTGTGAATTTAAAGGATGAGTTTTTAAAGTTTGTGTATGCCATCTACCTTGGGGGTTTTGTTTTTGTTTGTTTTGTTGTGCTTTTCTTGTTTGTTTGTCTTTTATTTTTGTTTTGTTTTGTTTTGCTTTGCTTTGTTCTATTTTTCAAGACAGGGTTTCTATGTGTGGTCCTGGCTGTCCTGAAGCTCAGCTCCATACACTAGGCTGGCCCTGACCTTACAGAGACCCGCCTACCCTTGCCTCCCGAGTGCTGGGATTAAAGCCGTGGGCCACCACTACCCAGCTTTTTTTCCCCAGAGCTTAGGACTGAACCTAGAGCCCAGGCAGGCAAGTGCTGTACCACAGAGCTGAATCCTCAGCCCCTGTATCTGACCATCTTAACCTTGCAGGAAAACGTGATCATTTTAGGAAGACGTGTGAACACAGGAAAAAAGAGCTTCTGTTAACAGAGTCTTCTGTGGACCAGCAAGGTGTCTCAGTGTGGACGGTGCTCTCTGCCAAGCCTGGTGATCAGAGTTCTAGCTCTGGGACACACTAAATAAAACTGAGAGAGAGAGAGCGAGAGAGAGAGTGGCTCTTACTGGCACAGCAGACAGGCCCCAGACCCTCAGGTAACTAAGACAATGATATGCGCTTGTCACGTGAGCCTGGTGGGAGGGGAAACTGACTCTGCAGAGCGTCCTCTGACCTCACCTCTGCGTGTGTGCACCACACGGACGGGAGTGAACACAGCAGCAGCAATACTTAAAAAACAAGTGCACGTGGTCTTTACCCAGCACTCCGGAGGCAGAGGCAGGCGGATCTCCGTGGATTCAAGAGCAGCCTGGCCTACAGGGCGAGAGCAGCCTGGCCTACAGGGCGAGCTCCCCAGCAGCCAATGACACAGAGGGAGGTCCTTTCACAAAAAGAGGATAAAAAAGGCCAGGACGCGTAGGCAGAATAATGTCAAGTTTTACAACAGAAATTTAAAGACAGTTCCCGCTAAGCGTTCAGCTAATCTGATTTGGGGCTGTTTTGATGGTTTAGTTTATTTTTAACTCTGTGTGTGTGTGTGTGGGGGGTGTGCACAGGAATGCCAGTGGTCATGGAGGTCAGAGGCGTCAGGCAGTCTGGAGTTGAAGGGATGGAGGTCTGAGCGGCGCTGGAGCTGCACTCTGCAGCAGCCTATGAGCTCTGTCGATGCTCTCCAGCCCCCATGGGCGGCTTGTCTCTAACACAACGCTGCCATTCAAACCAGACACACTTTGTTGGGGGGGCTGTCCCATTCACCATAAGATGCTTAGCGGTGCCTCTGGCCTCTGCAGCTCAAGGACCGATAATATTGCCAGATGCCCCTGGCGAGGTGGGGAGCGGGCAAGATGAGTTATACTGTAAATAGCTACCGAAGAGCGCAATTGTGGCCGCTCCAATCAAGACAGCGTGTGCCCACTGGGCGGGGTATACCTAGCTCTCTGGCCGTCTTCCGTCACCCTCCTCATCCTCTGAGGGGCAGCCGCTGCAGTGGGCCGTCCCCACCGAGCCCCATTTGAGGACTTCTGGCCCCTGCTGTGAGTAGCAGAGGCTAGCTTCCCTGCTGCTCTCCCGTGGCCACCTCTCCTAACTCCAGAGCGCCAGAGATGGCTCAGGGGCCGAGGGCGCTTGTGTCTTACAGGGGACCTGAGTCAGTTCCCAGCACCCCAGCCCTCAGGAGGCAGAGGCAGGCTGATCTCTGAGAGTCTGAGGCCAGCCTACTCTACACGGCAAGCTTCAAGTCAGGCTGTGCTGTACAGTTATTTTAAAACCTGGGCAGGGACTAGAGAGATATCTCAGTGGCTTAGAGCCCTGGCTCCTTCCCAAAGGATTCGAATTCGATTCCCAGGACCCACAAAACAGCTAACAAGCTCTGTCCCCCCAGTTTGAGGGGATCTATGCCCTCTCTGGCCTCCATGGGCACTAAGCACACGAGTGCTACACAGATGCACAAAACACCCAAACACAGAAAATACAGTTTTTGAAAAGTTAAATTAACAAAGAGAAGCTGGGGGCTGGAGTGATGGCTCAGAGGTTAAGAACGCTCACTGTTCTTCCATAGGTCCTGAGTTCAATTCCTAGCAATCACATGGTGGCTCACAACCACCTATAGTAAGATCTCGTGTGCAGGCAGAATGTTGTATAAATAATAAATGAATCTTAAAAAAACAAACAAACAAACAAAAAAAACAAAACAAAGAGAAGCTGTGCTGGTCTGACAGTAGGCGAGGCCACTGACGCTTCTTCATCAGAAGACTTCTTGGGAGGCAAAAATCAGAGACATTGCTGTGTCTCTTTCAGCTACGGCGGCAGGCTGGGTGGGAAGCTCATGGACAGGCAAAGGAGCGTGCCCAGAGCATCAGGGGCTAAGCTGTCATGCACTCCGGGTGTTTTCTAGCTTGGGGTCCTCTCTGCCTCCAAGTAAACTGTAAGACGATCCGGGAGCGAAGCTGAACCTTCGCTCAGGGGTTGCGAAGGCTGGCCGCCCTTCTGAAGGACCTGGGTTCGTGCCCGTGTTCAGTGCTTTCTAATTGCCTGAAATTCCAGCTCCGGGGGATGCCGCACCCCATTCTCTCATCCGTGCACGCACACAGAGCACACACACATGCACATCACTAAATCCTAAAGGTGAAAAAGCACGGCTGCATCCAGAGCTCTGCTGACTCACTTAGCTACAAGGTATGGTGTGCACATCTGCAATCCCAGCCCAGGGGAGGCGAAGGCAGGAGCACCACCAAGGTAGGCCTCGGCCGCGCAGCAGGTTGGAGGCCGGTCTGGACCACCGAAGACCTTAATCTCAAACAAAATACACCCCACCCAGGGAGGGAGGTGTAAGAAAAGGAAGCTGGGTCCGGTGGCTCACACCTGTCATTCCAGTACTTGGCTGAAGGAGGAGGGTCATGAGTTCAAGACCATCCTTGGCTACTTAGTGAGTTGGAAGTCAGTCTGGGATATGTGAGAATCTGTCTCAAAAAAAAAAAAAAAACCCAAACAAACAAACCAACAACAACAAAAACAGTGAGAGAAGATGGTTGGTTTTTCCTCCAGATTTCTGCTCACCCAGCCCGACTTTAAAATGCAGAGAAGGGGGAAGAGGGAGTGTTTTCCATTATCTTTTTACTGTTCTGTCTCTGAGGAGATCGACCATGGCAGTTTATGATCCAAATGCAAAGGTATCTTTGAAGTGACTCGGTGAGCCAGGTGAATTCAGATAGGAGGGGGCCGTGAAATAAATAATGCATAGATTTAAAACTTTCCCTCCGAGTCCAACTCTTCCAGGCTCCCCCTCCTGCCCGAAGTTTCTGGACTGCGTACACATCCCGTCCCACCCACCCCTGAGCTCTAAGGAAGGAATGCCAAGCAGCATCAGGAAGAGTCACCCTCTGGTCAGCGGAAAGTTTTCAGGACGGTGGCAATGCCATCTCTGGAACTTCCGACCTGTGGCTTCTGGCTGCCAGCCAGTTTTGGTAAGCAGAGATTGCCCTAGGGTGGGGACAGGGAAGAAATGTGGGCCGTTGGGCCCAGACAACACGCTCTACACCCTCACAGAGGTGAAGGGGACCTGGAGCCGGGCTCCCAGCTCGCTACGTAGCCAAGGATGGTTTTGAACTCACGACCCTCTCCTTCAGCCTCCAAGTCCTGGAATGGCAGGTGTGAGCCATCTTACCCAGCTCGCTCTGCTGGCGCATGCACAGAAGACACCAAAGCCTGAACAGGAAGTGCTGGGGTCTTCTAGCTCCCACTTCCTGGGAGCTGTGAGGTGTTTGAGGAAGCAACCAAGCTCTGGCAGGAATTCCATGTTTTCCAGGGCAAGCTGGCCAATCTATTGTGCAAGCCGGGACACTGCCGACAACCAGGGAGGTGGCTCATTCCTGTAACCCTGGCCTCAGGGAGGTGGAGGCAGGAGGATCTGAGGCCCACGGTCCTCCTCGATGCACCGAGTGCTCAGCTCAGCTACTAGAGACTCCGTCCTAAAGGCAAACAGGCCCAAAGCTGTCACTCAGGTGTGCGGCCCTTGCCACTTCGGCTGACGGCCTCAGAAAGTAGTGACTGCCATCAGGTGTTCTCTGCCCTCCTGCACCCCGCCCCCGCCAAGAGTAAATACAGAACAGCACGGTCCCAAGTACGGAGGGGCTAGAGAGATGGCTCGCTGCAGAAAGTATTTGCTGCGAAGTGTGAGCTTCAAATGCGTGGAAATATTGCTAAAAATTCCTTCCCTGGGAGAGATGTAAGCATGTACCCTTGCCCCTGGGGTCCCAGTAAGTGAAGGAAATGCGATTCCACCAAGGCTCACTCAGGGGAGCCGTCAGCGGATCAGGCTTATTACAGAGCCACTGGGGCTGTGGGCAAGAGTGTGGTGACCTCAAAGCGGGCACCCTGAGCTCGCTGCAGCAACACACGCCTGTGGTCCCAGCACTCGGAGCAGAGGCCGGTGGATCTCCGAGATCCAGGCCAGGGAGGCTCAGGACATCAAGGCTACACAGAAAAAGCCTGACTCACAAAATTTGTAGGGCTGGCAAAGGGCTCAACAGCGAAAGGCGCTCCCTAAGCCTCGAAACCTGAATTTGATCCCTGGAAACCCTGAAAGGAGGAGAGCTGAGGGCCGACTCTGAAAAGCTTCCCTCTGACCTCCACACCTGGCACTCAAGGCCCTCCCCGCCACAACACCAACAAATAAATACACGAAGAATGACCTAATTTTGTTTTCGCTGTAAATACACATGTGCAGAGAGTTTTCTGCAGTAAACCGTACCTTGTGGGTGGTGGGAATAGATCGTTTTAGTTCTGCTTTTTCAGCGCCTGGGGCTTTTCTACTGAACACATACACGGCTTCTGTAAAAATGAAAGATGATAGGGACTGGAGAGATGGCAGTTAGGAGCACTGTCTGCTCTTCCAGAGGTCCTGAGTTCAATTCCCAGCAGCCACATGGGGGCTCACAACCATCTATAGTGAGATCTGGTGCCCTCTTCTGTCGTTCAGGCACACATTCGAATAGAGTTCTCACATGTATAAATAAATAAACCTTAAAAGACAAAACAGAACAAAACAAAGATAGTGGCTTCTCGTCAGACACCGAGTGAGGGGCTCCACTGTGCTTAAGCAGAGCGTGAGCCCTGGGTTCAGCGCCCAGCATGGCATGGTGGCTTAGGCTTGTACTCTCAGGACTCAGAAGAGGAAGGCAGGAGGATCAGGTGTTCAAAGTCATCCTTGGCTACCCAGCCATTTCGAGTCCAGCCTGGGCTACATCAGACAGTGGAAAAAAAAAAAAAAAAAGAAATTCCCTAAGGTTGTCTGGCACAGGAGGGAGGGACTTCTTCGACTCTATCTCCAACCCACATTTTTTTTTCCCCAAAGGAGGGAAAATTTTTTGACTCGTCATACTGACTGACTTAAAATAAACACTTGCGAAAACTGTGGAAAATTTCAGACAGACTCATTTGCTGACAAACGCTTTCAGTGAACACTCCTGTGCCCATGTCCATCCTCCCTGGATCACTCCCGGGTGCCCTGGGCATCCTCCTCTTCCCATTTTATTTTGAAGCAAATGCCAAGCCTCATGCAAGTCATTTTGCTCACACTTCGGCACCCCTGTAGGACGGTAGGATTCTTAGGGACACACAGCTACGACAAGCTGTCATGCACCAAAAGCAACAAAGTCGCTAAATGCCATCAAACACCCAAACCACTGGGCTGTCCAAGCTATCTCAGGAATGCAATATGTGGACTTTTTTTCTCCTTTGGTCTTCGGGAAATAGTTTATTAAAGGTCTCTACAGAGCAATAGCTAGCCTCCAGATGCATCTGCAGGACCCTATTTAAAAATAGGGAACACAGCTGGGCGGTGGTGGCACTCGCCTTTAATCCCAGCACCCTGTGAGGCAGAGGCAGGAGAAGCTCTGTGAGTTGGAGGCCAGCCTGGTCTACGAAGTGAGTTCCAGGACAGCCAAGGGTACACAGAGAAATCCTGTCTTGAAAAACTAAAGGAAGAAAAAAAAAAGTATGCACATTAAACACGCACATGTAGCTTAAAACACTTTAGATTTGGTCTTTTCATTGTCTTCGTATTTGTCTTCGTATCTTGTTCTCTTTTACGTATTTTTAACTTATGGAGACACTGTCACCGTGGGTAGCTCAAGCTATCCTAGAACTCACTACGCAAAGCAAGCACCAACTCACAGCATCCTCCCTTCTCAGCCTCCGAGCGCTGGGATTACAGACACGAGCCTTAACCCCCAGCTCTGAGTTAAGTGTGTGTGTCTGTGTGTGCTTGCACACAGTGTGTGTGGGTGGGTGCAAAAGCACCTAGAGGCCAGAGGTCGCCCGAGGGCCGCCCTCGGGGCCACTCACCTTGCCTCAGAGCTAGTCTCTTCACGGCTCAGAGCCACCAGCTCACACAAGCTGGTTGGCCGGCAGGGAGCCCTGGAGTTCTGTCTTCATCTCCTCTGGGCTGAGACCAGAAGTGTGAGCCACCACACTAGAGCCTTTTACTGTGGCCTCTAGGGGTCAAACTCCGTGTTTTGTCTGTTTGACTTTTGACACAGGGTTTCTCTGTGTAGCTCTGGCTGTCCTGGACTCATTATGTAGACCAGGCTGGCCTCAACTTCACAGAGATCCACCTGCCTCTGCCTCCCGGGTGCTGGGATTAAAGGCGTGAGCCACCATTGCCCAGTATTTTAAAATTTTATTTTATGTGTGAGTGTTCATTTGCTATATGGTGCTCCTTTGCATGTGTGGATGTGTGCCATGACCCAGAGGAAGCCAGAAAAAGAATACCAGACCTCCTGGAACTGGAGTTACAGTTTGCTTTGGAGTCAGGGTGCTGGGAATTGAACCCTGGCCCTCTGAAAGAGCAGCCAGTGCTCTCAACCACCTGAGCCATCTCGCCATGCCCCTCCCCCATTAATTTTTAAAATGGTTACGGCCCTTTTCTTCTCAGACTTCAAGAGTCACAGTTAAGTATTTGGTATATTTCCTTCAGAGCCTGTCCTTTGTCAAGATTTACAAATAAAGCTTTCTAGCCTGTTTCTTTCTGCATGCCTACAGGTTGCTTCATTCCCTTCACCACTGTTGGGAGCGGTGTTCAGAATATTTATGTCTTCTGCAGTCTATCTAGCAGCTTCCATTGCTCAGTCAGCGCCCCCCTGATGAGCTTGGGGGCTCTTTTCCTCGTTACTTCAAACGATGCTGCAATCAGCGCCCTCATGCATAGTACGTCATAGAATCGTTTCCGTAGGACAAACTCATTGAGATGGGGAGAGCTACAGCCTGACTTACCCCTCCCAGCTGGTTATTTGTTTTGAAGCAGTGTCTTGTGTAGCCCAGGCTAGCCTGAAGCTAGGTCTGTAGCAGCTGATGACAGCAGATTCTGATCCTCCTGCCTCTACCTCCTGAGGGCTGGGATCATAAAGACCCTGCAAGAACCAGCCGCTCCCTTCCAAACTGCTTTCTAACAGCCCTAAGTGCCAGACGCTAGGGTCTCTCTGGGCTCCTTATTATGATGAGTTATTTGATATTTGAGTTCTGTCCTAGGGCCAGAATGTTCTGATTTTATGTTGTAGCGTTCAGGAAGGCAGGTCACCCTGTTATTCTGCCTCAGAATGTTCTGGTTTCCCCATTATTCTGGAAGAACTTTCAAATTTTATCAAGTTTCCCAAGTAATTCCCTTGGGGCTATGGTAAATTCATTTGAAAACTGCCGGGGTTTTTTATTTTGTTTTTTTTCCGTACAGTTTCTCTGTGTAGCCGTGGCTGTCCTGGACCTGCTTTGTAGACCAGGCTGGCCTTGAACTCACAATGATCTGCCTCCCTGAGTGCTGGGGTCACAGGCGTGCGCCACCAGGCCTGGCTCAAAACTGCCATGTTTTTTATTAAGCTGTTTACAGACAAGTTAAATCTTACCTTTTAACTTAAAAAATATTTTCTCTCTGTGCGTGCGTGTGCATTCATAACACAGTATTCTTGTCAAGCTCAGAGAACGACTCTGTAGAGTCTGTTTTCTCCGTCTGCCTTTTTGTGGGTTCTGGGAATCGAACTTAGCGCATTAGACTTGGCAGCAAGCACCTTTACCCCTGAGCCATCACAGCGGGTCTGTTTGCTTCATTTATTGGATTGAAGTTTCACATTTACTTACTTTATTTGTAAATGTATGTTTGCCTGCTTTGTCCCGTGCACACAAGGTCAAAAGAGGATGTCCCGTGCCTGGAGGTGGAGTGACAGGTGCTTGGAAACCGGTGAACCATGACGGTGCTAGGAGCCGAACCCCGACTCGTCAAGCAAGCGCTGTCTGCCGAGTCGGCTCTCCAGCCTGGCTCTGTTTGAGCGGGGCTTTGCTCTCTAGATTTCCTTTTTAAAATGACTTTGTAGGCTGTTGGTTTTATTATTGATCTGATATGGCTCTAAATGTTTGTTATTAAAGTTGTTCCCAGACATATAATTATTTATGTATTTTTTTGACACAGGTCTCAAACTCACCACGTGCTCACCCAGGGCTCTGACTTCATCAGGTGCCTTCTACCACCTGAACTACAGTCCCATATCATGAGTTGTTTGTTTTTGAGGCAGGGTGTCTCTGTGTAGCCCGGGCTGTCCTGGACCAGGTTGGCCTCGAACTCTGGCTCCCAAGGGCTGGGGTTACAGATGTGTGTCACCACCACGTGGCCCATATTATTCCATTTTTGATGCTGTTATTAATGCACTGTTTACTTTCACTTGGGCTTTTTCTTTACTCCTCTGTGCCCGTATGAGCATACCATAATGCATGTGCGGACTCGTGTAGACCTGGGGGGTAGTTCTGTCCTGGGGATGGGAATCAGGCGCTCAGTCTTGGCAGCAAGGACCTCTACCTGCTGAGCCATCTCTCCAGCCTTCCCCGTTTCTTCTCAGCGGGGTCTCACATAGCCTGGGCTGGCTCTGAACCGATAACCCTGCCTTGACCTCCTCGGGCTGATTACAGGAGCGCAGCCCCCTAGCGAGCTTCTGTTCATTTTTCTAACAGGGCATAAACATGTCTACTGCTTGGTGCAGGGGCAGATTGCTGCCTTCGTTTTTGGAGATGGGATCTCAGTGGCTAGCTCGGGCTGGCCATGAGCTTTGGAGCTTCCTCCCTCTGCCTCCCAAAGCTGGCATCGCAGGGCTGTGCCCACCGTTCACCAACTCAGCCCTCTCTCAGGCTGTGATTCCTTTCTTTACTCTTTCTTCCCTCTGTGTAGCCCTGGCTGTCCTGAACCTCACTCTAAACCACAAGGCCAGGGTTAAAGGCCTGTGCCCCTCCACCACTGTTAATTTATTTCTAACTGTTGTTTTCTTTTTATTTTTGTTTTTCAAGACAGTGTTTCTCTGTGTAGCCCCGGCTGGCCTTGAGCTCACAGAGATCCCCCTGCCTCTGCCTCCCTGAGTGCCAGGATCACAGGTGTGCGCCACTGCGCCCGACTAATTGGTGTTTTCAATCTAAAAACCTGTACAGCACTGTCATTTTGTAAAATAATGTATATAATGCCTCACCATTATTTGTTTATTATTGGTGGCACAAGTGATTGAACCTTCAGGCTTGCACAAACTTAGGCGGCCCCTCCCTGGGAGCCCTGGGCCTCCGGGCCTGTCCTGGGAGAGTCTCCCGGCCTTCCCGCCCGCTTGGACGACCAGCAGCCCTGTTTCCTCTGTCTACCGCGGCCACGCGTGTCTACCGCAGACCTCCGGGTCTGAACACCCCGCAGGGCCAGCGTACTGCTCAGGAGAGGTCGGAGCTGGGCCGGCTCAGCTGCCCCGCGAGGGCCGAGCAGTGCAGAGCAGCCTTCACGCCTGCACCCCGGGCGGAGACAGGCGGGCAGGCCCCGAGCTCCGCACTCGTGTGCACACACACGGCTGCGCGCACACACACACACACACACACACACACACACACACACACACACACACAGACACGTAAGCGGTGGACAGCATGACGCGATTCCCACTTACCTGAGACTGCTCTCTGCGACAGGCCGTGGGGGCTCCCACCCACCCAGGGCATTGTGGGAAAAGGAGCAAGTGTAAGACAGAGCACACCCGGGGGAAGAGAGGAAGCCAGCTCTAGGATCATGAGTCTTTTAATATATTGTTCTGAAAAGAAAGGAATTTAAAAAAAGTTCCTGACAGCTCTTCTTTAAATTATTTCCATAAATACCCCGCTCCCCGCCGCCCGCTCGCTCCCCTCTCCCGGCACCCACCCGTCCCTGGCTAGACCCTCACCCCAGAACTAAAGGACACGCTGTTTTACAGCAGACCACACTGCTCCCGGATTCGGTCGCTGCCGGGCCGCTCAGCAGGGCCCAGGCGTGCCCTCCGGGCCGAAATAAATACCAAAATAAAAACCCTGCCCCGCTCCCCTGGCTCAGTGAGCGCTGCCTTCCTTCCCCGCGGCTCCCGCCGACCGCGCGCCCCACCCGGCTCCGCCAAACCCGTCCCTCCACCCCGGCCCTCGCTGCGGGGCCCGCGCGCTCGAGTGGACCCTCCGCCGCCGCGGGCCTCGCGCGGACCCTCTCCAGCCCCTGCTCCTCGGCCGCCCGGGCCGCCCCGTCCGGGTGCCCCCGCCGCGTCCTCAGATGGCCGTGTCCCACAGCACCGTGTGCTGCCGGCGGCAGGGCGGGGTGCCGGACTTGCGGGGCTCGGGGCCCCGCCGCCAGCTGGGCAGGATGGGCATGCTCTCTTGCTTGCAGAGCCCGCGGTCGGGCCGGTGGCGCGCCTTGATCTCCTTGCACACGCAGCGTTTCCGCTCGATCACCTCCAAGAGCTTGCCGTCGCGCTCCCGGGCCGGCTGGGGCGGGAGGGGTAGAGGCAGCGCGGGGTGGGTCTGCGCCGGGAACCCCAGAGAGAGAGAAACGCGGGACACCGAGGGTCAGGGCCTGGGGCCAAACCCACCAGCCCCCGCCAGGCCCTGCGTCCGGGCGAGGGGGCAGGTTTCCAGCCTGGGCACCCTTTCCCCACGATGAGTCGGGGCTTTGCCTGGCCCTGAGGAAGGAGCCCTTCGAAAACCCGTCCTCCAACAAAACAAAAGGACAGGAATGCGGGCCGCAGGCCTACGGGGAGGAGCTGGGAGAGAGACTGTTGGGCAGGGGTGAAGAACGTAAACAAAACGCATAGTAAACCTGTGAAACTATCAGAGAACACATTCAACTTAAAAAAGATCTTCTGGTGCTAGGAATGTTAATAGGGTGCCTGCCCAAACGCCCAGCACCTCCCAGCCCAGGCCTTGAAGCCCCTTCGTAAATCCCAGCATTCTGGGAGTCAGAAGTAGATCAGAAGCCTGATCTACAGCTTGGGAGGCAGAGGCAAGGGGGTCTCTGAGCTCTAGGCCAGCCTGGTCTACAGACGGCGTTCTACAGCAGGGTTTGTTCCGAAACCCCCTTCCAAAACTCGAAAAGAAACACCAGAACGGAGCAACCAATCGAAGCAACAAAAGAGAGACTAAACTAGAACCTAGTCTTTCCAGACCAGGCACGTGGGTTTTCAAATCTGTCCCGGCAGGGGCTCTTTTTCCAAACTGCTAAAGCTGCCCTGGAGACAAGCCACTCTCCAGACTTGCCAGGACCCTGCTTCTGTAAGCTCAGAGCCAAGCCAGAGACCCTCGCTGTCCTGCTGGCCTTCCATCCCTGTTGCCCAAAGGCCGTGCAGGCAGCAATGGTTAGTCCCCAGCCTGACTTTCTCTCTTTCCTTTATTTTTCTGTTCATCTTCCTTCCCTATTTATTTACTAAGACTTTTAGAAAAGCATTCGAGTGTGGGCGATGGCACATGCACAGCTCAGGGAGGTCGGAAGACGGCTTTAGAGGGTCCCTCCTCCCCTCCCACTACGTGGGTTCTGAAGATCAAACTCTGGCTGCCCGGCTTGGGGCAAGCGCCTTTACCCACTCAGCCACTTCATGGTCCGCTTGCCTTTTAAGACTTCCCATTTATTTGTGCACGTGTCTAAGTGAGTATGTGTGTGCGTGCGTGTGGACTTGGAGGCCAAAAGAGGACGTCTGAATCCCTGGAGCTGGAGTTACAGGCAGTTGTGAACTGCCCAGCGTGGGTGCTGGGAATTGAACCTGGTTCTCTGCACAGAACAAGCTCTAAACTGTTCAGCGAGCTCTCCAGCACCCTTTCTTTTCTTGAGATAGGCTGGCCTGGAACTCAGTATTTAGTGCAGGGAGGAGGACCTTGAACTTCCAATCCTCCTGCCTCCACCTCCCAAGTAGGCATTACAGGTGTGTGCCCTGACCCCTATTAATTAATTTTTTTTTTTTTTTTTTTTTTTTGAGACAGGGTTTTTCTGGGTAGCCTTGGCTTTGTAGACCAGGCTGGCCTTGGACTCTCAGAGATCTGCCTGCCTCTGCCTCTGCTGGGATCACAGTCGTGTGCCTCCAAGCTGGCCTCCAACTCTGCATGTCTGGATGAATTCTTTTTCACCCCTACCTCCCCGGATCACTGAGTTCCAGGGGCCGAGCCAGCCTGTCTGTCTCTTCTTTCCATGCCCAAGCCTTCTTTTCTACCCGCTCCTTCAAAGAGAAAACAAACACTGGATCTCACCTGGCTCAGGGCGTCCCTGGGCTGGCTGCAAGGCCGAGGGGTATGGAGCGCAGCCTGACGGACTCCAGAGGTGGAGGCAGAGCGGCCCAGGCGGTACCCGCCTGTGAAATCTAGGCCCAAAAACCAGAGATGAAAAGAAAGACCACAGCTGTCCTCCCTCACCTCCTTAAGGAGGTTGAAGGCTAACCAGTCTCCTGCTTCATCAAAAGAAGGGAGATGGAGGTACAGTGTTCTAAGCTGGGGTGTGGCTCAGTGGTAGAGCCCCTGCCTAGAATCCCCCAGTGAGGGGCTGGGGTGTGGCTCAGTGGTAGAGCCTCTGCCTAGAATCCCCCAGTGAGGGGCTGGGGTGTGGCTCAGTGGTAGAGCCCCTGCCTAGAATCCCCCAGTGAGGGGCTGGGGTGTGGCTCAGTGGTCACCTGCCTAGAATCCCCCAGTGAGGGGCTGGGGTGTGGCTCAGTGGTAGAGCACCTTGCTTTACATGTGGGAACTTCTGGGTTCCACTCAAAGTGCAAGAAATATTTTTCAAAGGTAGACATGGAGTTGGCAGTAGTCAGGCAGGGTAGTCCAGGGTGGACCCTGTCCAATTCCTGACCCACCCATCTCTGTGTATGGAATATGAGGGCAAGGTGTCACCTCCATTCCGGTGGCAGGCCGGGAAAGTCTGGCAAGGGACCGGCAGCGCTGTGCGGCTCCCTCCTCGATCATGGTGGATCCTGGCCAGCAGACCCTCTGCCCCCTGGCTTCTCACAGGAATCCCTGATGCCACAGGGACCCTGTCCTCATGCTCTGCTTTGCCTGGACCTTCCGTACTGCCATTCCAGGCCCGGGCACCATCCTCTTCTGCTGGGATAACAAAAAGAGCTGAGTGTCTGCAGGCGGGAGGCGCCTTTCTACCCAGCAAACGCATACAATGCAGCACGGAGGCCCTTCCTGAAAATCACAACAGGGATGGGAACGGCTCTGCCTCTCGTGCCCCCAGACACACACACACACACACACACACACACACCAGGAGCAGCCCTGCCACCTTCTCTCTGCCCATCGTTCCCATCCCTGGGGCTCGGAGCCTGCTCAGTCCAGAAGACCCTTCAGAGGCTTTCTCCACCCTGGCTCTCCAGGTGCAGATAGGGTTAGAATGAGCACCCTGGAAACAGGGGGCGGGGGGGGGGGTGCTGCCTCTCAGTAGGGAGAGAATCCCAAATCCTGAACCCAGAAAGGGGTGGGGGCCTGTGGAGTGTATGGAGTGGGGGAAGGGCAGTATGTGAACTAAGCCCATCTCTGAGAGCAGGCCTGGCAGAGCATTGTGTTGCCTGGCAACGGCAGGGGCCTCCCTCTCCTCTCCTGTCTGGATGGGTTGCCATGGTAATGGCTGGGAGGCAGCTGTGTTTAGCTCCTAGTGTGCACACACTCACAAACACACACCCTTGCAGCCCAAGGAAGGGAGGGGCAGAGGGTGGAGCAGGATGAGGCCGGATTCTACCCCAGGCCCTATCCCAGACCGTCCTACCTTTTCCAGGACCCATTCAGAGACATCTCCCTCCCTCCCTCCCTCCCTCCATTCTGCTCCCCATCCCCACCTTTCTGATCCCTCAAAAACTTCTCGGGTCAGGACAATAGGTCTGCAGGTTCTACACGGCCCTTCAACATTTAGCCCCGGCCGTCAGCGATACCCCCAGTCCCAGCTCCTCACTCACTGTCCGGTTCCTTTGCTTTCCTCCCTCCATACAGGACTTTTCTCTGCAGGGCCCAGCCTGCCCCAAAGGCGGCGCCCATCTCTTCTTCCTCTTCCGGCGTCCCCGAGCTGGCGATGACCTGGGCGCAGGAGATGCTGGCAAAGGCGCCCCCGTCAGTCCCTTGCTCTTGCAGCTGGATCTTGACCATGGGGGACGGCGCCCCCACTCCGCAGCCCTTGTGGAGCACCCCCCCAGCCTTGAGACTGTCATAGGCGGGGGGTCTCCTGAGCCCAGCTGCCGTGGCTGGGTAGGTCCAGAGGGGGGCCAGGGGGCCTGCGGCGGGATCCGGAAGGCCGTGCGGGGAGGCCAGGCAGCTGCGGTGGTGGAGGACGCCGGCGGCCGAACCCACGGCCGCCCCGTGGGGGCTGGCCTTCCCCGGGACAGGGGGCCTCGAACTGGCGCACAGCATCCCGTGAAGAACCGAGATCTCCTCCGTCTTCGGCTCCCCGACCCCCAGGGGCGGCCCGGCCGGCAGGACCGAGTGCGTGGTCACCTTGACCGCAGAATACACCATCGTGTACGACACGGCCTTGTCCTTGGGCGGGCCGGGGAGCAAGGCAGCTGAGGCGGGGTGGGCTGCCGGCACCCCCGCGGCCTTGGGGCAGATCATGCTGTGAGAGTTGGGGAGCTCCCGCTCCCCGCGGGGCTGGCCGGAGCCCGGGGGTGGCAGCGGCGTGGAGTGGCTCCGGGCCCGGCCCGACGGGCCGAGCAGCAGCAGGTTGGCAGCCGGAGGCGGCAGGGGAGGCGTCTCCCGCTCTCGTGCAGGCACTTGGGGAGCTGGGGTGGGGGCGGCCGGCTCCTTGGGGTGGCAGAGGACCGGCAGCCTGGAGCCCCCCTCGCCGGGGGCGCGCGAAGCGGACTTGGCCGGAGGGAAGGCCAGGAGAGGAGGCCGGTGCTGGAGGAGGTTGGGGAAGGGCGGGGGGATGTCGCACGGGGTGGCCTTGGTGGGCATCCCGTCCCTCCGGCCGGGGAGGGCCGAAGCGGGGCGGCGGTGGGGGAGGGCGTGCAGCTGCTGTGGCGGGGCCACCAGCGGGGGCGGCCCGCCGGCCCGGCCCTCCCCGGCCTCTTCGGGCAAGGGGTACTTCATCTCCTCGTAGATGGCCTCGCTGTCCTCAGAGTCCGAATCGGCACCGGCTGGAGGCGTTGGGCCTCCACCGCCAAGAGGGGGGCCCGCCAGGCCGCCTCCACCCCGGCCTCCGCCGCGAAAGACATCCCCCACCATCTCGATGTACACCGGCTCCTCTTCCTGGGCGCCCGCATCCGGGTCCCCTGCGATTCGAGAAGCCCGGCTGAGGCGCTGCGGCGGCAGGTTCCCCCGAGGAGACGGCGCTGGGCCGCAGGACTCATCGAAAGACACCGACAGCTGGGTGTTGGGGCTGCGCCGGGGTTTTTGTGGTGGGACCTTCCGGCTAGACTCTCGGCACTCAGGGGTTGGCTTCTGGGCGCCTAAGTAGCGTGGGAAGGGAAAAATGGAGCTTATTCAATGCAGTGCATCTACCATGCCAAGCAGGTGCCCTACCACTGAGCCACACTCCAGCCCCTCACTGGGGGACTCTAGGCAGGTGACCACTGAGCCACACCCCAGCCCCTCACTGGGGGATTCTAGGCAGGGGCTCTACCACTGAGCCACACCCCAGCCCCTCACTGG